AAAGTGGAGTCTGCCTGCCCAGCCACCCGCGACTGTTCTTGCCGAGCTCTCTTGGAACCTCTGGGGCCTGTGGGCGGGAAGGGGAGAGGAAGGCGGGAGACGAGGCAGCCTTCTCGGCTTGGGTGGGCCACTCCAGAGGCGGTGACGGGCGGGTCCGTTCCTGTGTCCATGGTGGTCAGCACGTTTGCAAAGTGCCGAGGCTGCCCAAGAGGACGGAGGCTGGGCGGAGGCTCCGTGCCCTCACCTGGTGGGCTCTCCCGCCCCGCAGGAGGGCCAGGGGGTGGTGGCTCAGGGCACCATGTGCCACCACTTGAAGGGGAAGGGCTTCCGGCGCACGTTGGTGCCGCAGTGCACCTCCCCGAGCAGCCTGTGGTAGGACAGATAGTCGTCCACGAAGACACAGTGCAGCCCCAGCGGCTCCAGCAGGGCCCGCACCGCCTCCTCCAGGCAGCAGCGGCCATCGATGAGGGGCCCGTAGGGCTTGGGGATGCCCAGGTACCTGCCCAAGACCACCATGTTCACCTGTAGAGACAGAAGGCAAGGGGGCCTGCACCAGCTGTGAAGGCTCCACGCCTGGGCCCTTCCTGGGCTCTGGCTGTGCCGACCTGTCCCCAGGCCTATCCCATCCTCACCAGTACACCTGGGCCACCAGAGCTAGGGTCACCGGAAGCAGAGAAGAAACAGATTTGGGGATGGAAGCGGGAACTAATATCAGCCAGGACTGCCAAAAGCATACACGGTAACTTTGCTTGTATCAAAGTCATTATTTTAACACTCTCTTCCAGCTACCGGGAAGTTGTCATATTATAACAACTTTGTCAGAACAAGAGATTTTACTGTCATCTGCCAGAAACTTGTAAAAATATACATATCTATAAGGTGTGAATGTTCTAAATGGGGTATGCTTATGCAGTACACAGCTTGCTCCACTGTCCTTGGCAGCTCTGGTCATTGTTACCGTTTACTGAGCATCTTCTATGTACCAGATAGGTCATCAGTAAATCTCACAGCCTTCCTCTGAGGCTGTGGCTCAGATAGGTTAAGTACAATAATCAAGTTTGCACAGCCAGAGAAACAGTGAGACTAAAATTTGGAGTTGGATCTGACTCATAACAAACCCATGTTCTCCACACCTTACCACAGCGTGGTACTCTGGCCACCAGTGGGACTGGGAAGTTGGGGGAGGAGCTGGAAGCCCCTGGGTTTGTCACCGGTGGCACCTCTTGTTCCCTAGCTGTGGGCCTGGCTGGGGTCCCAG